AAACTTTATGATAATTAATTATTAAAAAAATTGCTATTTTTACTCAAACTTTGACGATGAATATCTCGATAACTATTTATCTAAATTGGCTTAAATTTTTACCATAGATAGTAGCGATATTCTTATATTATATATAAAAATTTCAACCGATTTGGTCTTGTAGTTCTCAAGTAATCACTTGTATACGATAGTTAATTTTTTTAAAAAATTGACCATTGTATACAAACGATTACTTGAGAACTACCAGACCAAATCGGTTAAAATTTATATATATAATATAAGAATATAGCCACTATCTATGGCAAAAATTCGAGCCGATTTAGATCAATATTTATCGAGATATTCATCATCAAAGTTTGAGTAAAAATAGTGAATTTTTTTATATATAATATAAAATTTTATTTTTTTAGCTAATCAAAATTCTAGATTTATTGTCAGGTGGGGTAGGGGGGTAACCTGATATGATCAGAGGGTTTAAATGGGTACCCCTAGTTGAGGTGCAGATACAGCAGATAGTGTAGAACCTTCGAGCTGACTACTTAAATTAGGCATTCAAAAGATGCATGTATAAAACTTAATGATAATAAATCGCCATTGACAAAGAGGTCATCTTTAATACCGAATAAACCTTACAGGTTGTATAGAGTGCAACTACCCCAGTAGCACCAACAGATTTTTACTGATCGACATAAATTGATCAATTAGATTTTAAGATCAGGTGTAACGTAAAAATCATGTGTTTTAAAAATTTTATAAAATAGCAAATAACTCAAAATTTTATATATGAAACTACTTACTGTGCATTAGTAAAAAAAATTCATTTAATTGTTGCTTATGTGTTTGTCCACATGTTTGTTGTTGTTAACTTTATTAGGCATGTGTGTTGTTTGTTTTGCCAAGTCTTGAAACATGTCATTTGTTTGGGTAAACCAGCTGTTTTCTTCTTCTGCCACTTTGGTTTTCTCATCTGTTTCTTTTTTGTTTTCTGCTGTATTTTTCTGCATACTATTGCTGCTTGCAACATTAACTGTGTTGTTTGAGTTTTGGCCTACTGTTTGGAGCAACTCCTTATTTTCTGCATCTTTATAGCTTGTTCTCCAAATTTCGGCTAAATTTTCTTCTTCTTCAGTAGCTAAAGTTCTTGCCTTTTTATTTTTTCTGTCGAACTCTAGGTTATCTATGCTAGATATTTCTATACTATTTTGCTTATATTTCTTGTATATACGGGCCTCAGCCCCTAAAGTACCTTGTTGTTTTTGTATAAAAAGTAGCTAGTTTTGTATAGTAATTTTGTTGTTACCAAATTTCCAGAGGAGAACCAGAAAGAGTTTTTTGCTCTACAATTTTTAAGATTATTATTTGAACTTTAAATATATTAACAAAAATTTTCTTAATACAAATAAAATAAAGAACAAGAAGTACAAAAAGAAAATTTAGGTGAGCATGGCCTTCTGTTGATCTGGCAGGTAACCTTCTAGTAAGTTAGAGGCCAAAGAGAAAGTAAATCAGTGGCTAGACAGTTACACATAGGCACCTCTAAGCAGCCATGTAATGCTTTACGCACGAGTGGGGGTATGGTAAGTCTGAGAACTGTAACACTGTAGGGGAGGGACCTGGGATATATATAAAAATGTATATAGACTAGACTGCTATATAAATACTTAACTATTCAGACGTAATAAAGTGGCTACTATTGAAACCAAAAAAAACAAAAAGAAAATTCAAATATGCCACGTACTACTAAAGAACTAAACAAAAGACATTCTAATAGAAAAGAGTAAATGTAAAGTAGTAACATAGTAATAGAATAGTAAATAATAACACTAATTATAGAAAGGAAGAAAATAAAGAATATGAAGAAAAGTGATAAGAAAAAAAAAGAATTTAAACAAAAAGAACAAAGTAATAAAAAATAATAATTTGTAATATAAGAAAAAATAAGAGTTGGAAAAAAAAAATAAAAAGTTATGGAAAAAGTTAGAAGAAAAAAAAGAAAAAGAAAAAACAAGAAAAAAATGGTTTAGAAGTGAATTAGAAGAAGAAGGAAGAAGATATAAGATATTGTGGAAGGCAAAGAAAAAATTCGAAAGAGAATATAATGCTTTAAGAGATGATATGGGTGGGGGAGGTATTAGAGATAATAGAAATAAAGATTAATCTTTAATATAACTGGGCAATATAAAATTATTATTTGGTGATCCACTAGTTAAGCAGAGAATGATCATAGTAAAAAGTGACTCAAATTACTTATAAAAATTGGGAGTCTCTAAATATGGCGTGCATACATTTAAAACTTTTTTTATACTAAGTTAATTATCTTTCTAACTTAAGAAACTTTTGCAGAGCTTGTCAAGGTGCATCTAATAGTGGTTAGAGCGTCAAATTCAGCTTGGTAAGTGCCAAGATATCTTCAAAAAACATTTCTTTTACTATGTAAACTTCTTTGCAAACAATGCTATTGTTTGTAAAGAAGTTTATATAGTAAAAGAAAGTTTTTTAAAAATATCTTGGCACTCACCAAGCCGATTTTGATGCTCTAACCACTATTAGATGCGTCTTGACAAGCTCTACAAAAGTCTCTTAAGTTAGAA